CACGACCAAAATAGATGAGGATAAGACCACACTTAATGAATGTATCTTATCCCAAGCACCTCCTTCAACTTGAAGACCACAAATCCCCATCCCTGCAGAAAAAAAAAAAAAAAAAAAATGACAGAACCTACATCCAAGATCTCCTGATTGGCTTTTGGTGATGTGGCCTCTCTCAGAACCTTAATAGCCACTGGGATCTTCACATCCTCTCCCTCTGGGACCCAAAGACCCTGCAGGAACACAGTGTTTCTGTTGCATCACTTTCTATGCTTGAAATGTCAAGAGACACAGGAATATTATACAATGTACAACGTGATTATAAAGATTTGTATACATGCACATTTAATAGCTTTCTCATCAACAGCTTGCAGTTTTGTTTGCAATATTTTGGAAATTTTAACTTACTTATTTACTTTTTAATCACAACAACCCACAAACTGTTTAGCAAAACTCATATTATAGAGTCATAACACGCAAACTGATATATACAACCAACAGAAATATTTTGTCATGCCCCACACAATTACGGGAAGACTCTTTTGATAGTTGTCCAGCAGACCATCGCTAACAAACTATTAGGAGAAGAAGCCACAAAGACTCATTGACAAAGAACAGGCTGAACCAGGCCATAAACATAGGGTTGAATTTAGAAAGTTGACTGGAAGAATAAAGTGTGGCAGGAAAAAGGTGATCATTTTGTGATGTTTTGTGGAACTGAGCCACTTGCTGTTGTAGATCCAACAACAGCAAGTGTTGGATCTGTGCTGTTAAAACACCTGAAGCTTTCCTCAACTCTCTTTATTAAAATATTTTCATTGGTCTCTTCAGAAATATTCCAAAATTGTGAATTTTGAACCTTCAGTAGCTGTAAGCCATAATCATCAAAACAATCTGAAATCAAAGCTTGAAGTATCCCTTGGTAGATATAAAACCCAGATTCTTTCTCGGTTTCCCATTTACAGAGGCATTACTGAAATAAATTAACTCTTCATTGACATTCTAATCAGTCCTACAAACACCAAAATACACACTTGCACACTGCATTTGACTTATCTGTCCTCTATTAGAAGATTTACCTCTTAATTATGGATGGAAATAAACAGACAGTCCAAAGGGCAGATTTTTGTGTCCTAAATACAAATCCCCAAATGTGATTAGAGCAACGGCTGTGACAGAAACATTGAAGCCAGTCATGCATGATGTAGCAAGTTAAAAATGTGTTGTAATTGGCAAATTGAAAACACATGTAGATCTGTGAAAAGTCAGCATGACGGAGCAACAGAGTTTCAGAACTGCTCAGCACTTGAGCTTCTATTTTACAATAAGCCATTATGCAAGCCAAACCTGTAATTACCTTGTAAACTGTACCGAAGGCTCCTGATCCCAGCACTTTAATTTTCTTAAACTCTGGTTCCTTCAGTATCCGCAGCAGAGCTTGGTTTGGTGCCTGTCCACTCGGAGTGAGAGGTTCAACTAGCTGCATGGAGGGAGTGGGACCCATAAAACCATGACCAAAAAAAAAAAAAAAAAACCCTGTGAATTTGTGCTTTGAGCTTAAGCCGTCTCTCCTTACCTCTCTCTCCTGGAGCAGTCTGCGCATTGTCCTCTTTCTCTTGATGTGGCGGCGGCGTAGGAGCACAAAGACAGAGAGGCCTGCGACCAGAACTGCCAGCAGCCCACCAACAACCCCAGCTGCAATTATGGAGAGACCTGAAGGCCTTCCAAGAAATGTATATAAAAATATGTAAGTATATTAAATATAAAGAACACAAACATACAAGAAGACACAAGAGAGAATAAATAAACTGATAGATAAACTGAACCAGAAAAAACTGATACAAACGTATGTTAAACAGATGGGAATTAGTTTGTTGGCCTGCTGAAAAAAAACATTAAAATTAACTAATTATTTTATTACAGTACAATAATTTCATATTAAGTTTGTTTGAAAAATTTTTCCAGGCGTATAATTTCTAAAGCTAAGCTGAAAACGTGTTATCTTCAGCAGATTTATGCTCCAAAAGAAAACACTAAATCAACATTAAAATATTCACCAGACACAAAGTCACCCTTCTTCCACGGCCATCTCAGTCCAGAGGCCTGAACCTAATTGAAAACCTTTGTGGTGAGCTGAAGAGACCATTCCAATGCCTATTCTTTTGACTCTGGATCAGGTTTGCTTGTACTTACAAAAGTTGGTCTGTTCTTGTCTCTTTACAGTATTTCTTTTGGCTTGAAATTATAGCACTGACTCAGTCACCACAAAAGCTTAGTTTGTCTTCTGTTGCACGAATTGTGTGCTTATGGTTTTCCTGCTGCTTCTCAAAAGTAGTTCAAGTCTAATATCCAGCACCTTGAGCACAGTTCCTGTGACAATCCGCGCACAGGTAGCAAGGCTTGGCAGGCAGCAGCTTTTTCCATGAACACCATTGTTGCTCAGTGTTCACAAGATGACGCCCTTAAATCTTAGCCAATGTGGGAAAGGACTGCTCAGTTTCTTAGAAGTTATACTGGGTTTCTTCATGACGTGACCGATAGTCGTTGGTCAACCAGTTCTGGTCAGAGTAACAATGATCTCGAGTTTCCCCACATTTGTACACAATCTGTCTGACTGCGGATTGTCGGAGTCCAAACAGATCCCAGAGATAAATTAGTAACATTTTCCAGCCTGATGAGGATTGACTGCTTCTTTTTTGGTGGTCTTCAGAGATCTGCTTTGTTTGAGTCATAGTACAAAATCAATCAACTTCTTTTTGGAAGTTCAAACATTGATAAATGAAATGTGGTGGATAAAAAATGTTTGTCATTCTATCAAGGTTCCTGAACAAATGTTCTATAAAAATTCAATACACTTTTCAAACTCCGTTCTCCGGAGTTCAACCTCCTTTAAAGTTAATTTCAGATTATAAAATACTGAATTTTCCTTCATTATTGCAGATAGGAAGGAAGGAATGAAAGGAGGAGGAAAGGAAAGAAGAAACAAAGAACAGAAAGAAGGAAATAAGGTAGGGAGGAACACACAAAAGAAAAAAGGAAGGAAGGAACCAATTTAGGACAAAGGAAATAAGGATGAAAGGTAGAAAGGAAAAAAGAAGGAAAGAACATGAGAATGGAACAGAGAAACATGAGGAAAAATGAAAACAAGGAAGAAAAAAAGGGGTTGAGGAAGGATAGAAATATATGGGGAAGGTAAATGGAACAAGGACAACATTTTGCTACTGGAAAAAAAAAAGTATTCAGATTGCATAGTTCTCCATACTTTCACAGTTTGTTCAAGAACCTTGTCCTACTGATTGAAAACACATAATTCTGACTAAAAGAGTTCAAATTAATCACGTACATTTTTTTAAAATGAGTTCATTGCGTTTCCATTTGTCCTACGCCACACTTAGATACACAGTAACATTCAAACCGTGAACGGCTCAAATGCGTTCAGTCAAATGTAAGCTCACCTTTCACCTTGGCAACCTTCAGGACCTGGTCCCACACACCTGAGGACACAACAAATCTAATGAAAATATGGTCCACAAACACAACAACATGAAGGAAAGCCAGGCTCTGCAGGCGGTAACCATCAAAAACCTATGACTGTTGCTACACGTCCTAGTCTTCTTTACTTCTGCCAGCAAAAATATTCAACTCAGACTAAATATTCTGAATGGATTCATAAATCAACTCAGTTCAGCTGGGAACTATTTATTTCCACATTTCCAAGCTATTGAAATGTTTTAGAAATATGTATCAGTTTCTTCTTTCTTTACAAGACACACACAAAAGGCCCAGTATCATGACTGCTCTCCGTGGTCTGAAGGTATGTCAGACCCATTTTCCTTCTCACTCATCCATATACCACCAAGGCTCAGTGTTGATTGTATATCACAGGGAACATTTGGCTCGCTTTCATTTCAGATTTGTATTGGTATGGTTTTGCTCCACAAAAGGACTACAGACCACTAAAATTAAACACTGCAGCTAGAGAATAAATAAATACAATAAAAAAGGGAAACCAATGGAGACTTCAAATGAGGAGGGCAACAATATCTGGAAAAAACACACCAACATACTCGTCTGTTTTTTTTTTTTTTTTTTCATTTTGTCTCCAATAAAATCTCCTGACTTCTGTAAACTTAGCGGAACCCTTTCAGATTCATGTCATTGTTCCACCAAACAAACATTTTCAACTCAGAAACTTAATGTTGAGCTCTCTGGTATCAAACGTGTTTACCCCTTGGTGCAGTTCTTGTGGCACAGCTGGCACACTCGTTTCTCATCTACGTATTTCCACACCAAGGTGTCACCCTCTCCCGGCACGCCTTGGGGACAACGGGGCACGCAGTACAGTCCATCCTGAAAGTTGGCACACTTCGTACAGTTTCCAGGACCCTGTAAGAAAAAAAAGAACCAAAAACATACTTTTCATGTTTACAACTCTAATGACAATTGCTGCAAATATTATATTGTCAAATATTACAATAATAATTCTTCAAAGGAAGCAGCTTTTGCCATCCTAATAAATGTGGAAAAGGTTTGCATGCAACATGGTGTTGGCAGGATCATGATGCGGGAAGGCTTTTTAGCATATATTGGCCTGAGTTCATTAGAAGTAGGATTGAGTTAAACACAAAGCAGTCGTGGAGGAAAATCTTGTAGGTGTAGCAAGCAGACACCAGACAGAGACAATGCTATGAAGGAATAGTTTAAGTCAAAACAAATTAATATGTTAGAATGGCCCAGTAATGCAGTACTGGGCCAAATAAAAAGTGCATTTGGGCTGTTGTTCATGTTGTGGACTTATTGACATTATTAAGTGGCGATGACAAATTGCATTTTTGTGTTGAATTAACTTAAAAGTTACAGCTTTTTAACTGAAAAGAACTTTTTACTTTGACTTAACTCGAAACGATTAAGTACAATGTCATGTTTGTATCCTATATCTGGCGTCATGATGCAAACTTCGCCAGGGACAGATCCTGTACCAACCAGAGTGCTGTGGTGGCGCAGGGTAGAGGCAAGCCACATAAGGAGACCTTAGTCCTCGAAACGTGTCACAGGTTCGATTCCAGTACTGATCACCTTGCTGCATGTCTTCCCCCTCTGTCATTACCCACTTTCCTGTCTAACTAATGTCAAATAAAGGCAACCTGAGCCAAAATATCTTTAAAAAAGATCCTGTATTAGTTTGCTTATTTATTTGAAGTAAACTAAATGATTTGAGTATGACTGACTTAAATTTGCCAAGTTAAACCAACTTACTAAATTAAATTGGATAAACTTAATTTGATTAATTGTTACCAATTGAAGAAATTCAATTAAGTTTTTCAACTATTTTCTTTTTTCAGTGTAGAGAAACACCCTCCAAAAAACAAAACAAAACAAAACAAAAAAAACATCAATGTTCACTGATGCTCTCATTACAGAGAAGAAATGAACTTAGGAAAAAAATAATTTGCCAAAAGATCAAGTTTCTATGTTCAACGCTAGAGACTTGCAGTACTCCAAAAGACTTGCAGCTGTAATTGCAGCAAAATTTCATTCCACAAGCTCCTGCCTCAAATGGATGCCAGTGCCACATATAATTTTTCTTCCACTTCACAATTATAAGCTACTTTGCAGTGCTCTGTCAAATAAAATCCAAGTAAAACATACTGAAGACTGTGGCTGTAATGTGAGAAAACGTGAAAAACTCCCAGAGGTGCGGATCATTTTCCAAGGCGCTGTGTTTGTCTTCTGCACAGGATTGCAGTATCTTAACGTCTTAATGCCACAGGTGAGCATCTTTACTCAGTCAGCATTTCTGTTGTTGACAATGATGGCATACATTTCCCCTGTTATATTTTTAACAAAAGTAGAGGCCTAAACTTGCTTTAATCAAAATACAGGATTATGTGCATAAAAAAGCAAACAGTTAGCCAACTTCATCTGACAGTCACACCCCTCCTTCAAACACAACATGTCTTGCGGCTGCCCTGCAGGCTGATCTGCTAAAGCTGCCGCTGATGGAGAAATCGCTGACACTTCTGGAAGGGATTTCATGCAGCATTAATGTTAAGATGTTCATCAATTATGTTCACAAATGTGCTAAGCGTGAGTGTCTTTTCTTTAACTGCACAAAATATACGTACCGGCGCCCGACAGGTTGCTGTCCCGTTCATGCGTAGACACTCGGGGTCACACTCCATGCAGGTTTTATTCATGACCGCCTCCCGTGGCTCGCTGCAAAAAAAAAATTAAATAAAATTAGCAAAGCTGACAAGACTGTTGCTGTAGGGCAGCTTCAATTCAAACAGCTTCATTTGATCTGCTTTTTGGAGGGCCAAGTTAAACTGTAAGCATGTCAAGATTCAATGTTTGACAAATGTCTCCAAAGAGAAACAGATGTGAGTGCTATGTGCCATTTTTCCAACAATGTTTGTCTTACATCTTCTGGAGATTTAACTTCAGAAATACCCTGGATCTTCAGCTTTCTTTCAATAATCCTCTAATTTATCTAATGACATAGTCTGGAAATACTCGTGGTATGACAACAGACTTTGAAGAAATGAACCATCTCGCACCGAGATCTGATGTTTCAGACTGTTTGTTTGTCTGACATAGAGGACAGCAGATTTCAATGCTTAAAAAGGAATCAAGCCCAGATTCTTCCCTTACCCCTCCAGGATGTTGCAGAAGTCAACACAACTCCCGCTGCGGCTGTAGTCACGGCAGGCGAAACACATGTCCGGGCCCGGGCCCCAGCAGCCGTCTGCTGTGCACTTCCTGTCACAGGTCTTATTCCTCAGGACTAAAACCAGATGTAAAAATTTAAACAGAGTTCTTGATAATCGCCCCAGCTTTGAAATTTATTGGTTCATTGCAAAATTAAATGCCTGAAAAGCAACAGAAATCTCACCACAAACGGTAGCATTTGCATTTTCATTGACTGTAGCAGTTTGGCCTCCTGATATGAAGAACCTCTTCCAGTGGCTGTCATCCATGTAGCAAAGGTTGTGATTTTTGATAATGACCACGTCTCCGTCGCTAATCTCCTTTAGTGACCGTAAGCCAAGGTAGTCGATATCGAGCTGTGTCACAACCAAGCTGCGGCTACCACTATCCAAAATATAAGTGCGAAAAAAGGATGAAATTAAAATGACATCCTCTGATAATTTCGCATAGTACATAAAATTCCAAGTGTTAGTCCTTTGATGTTTTTGTAGCGATGAAGAGTCCACTGGGATAAGAAATTAAACAGGTTTAGCACATAGGAAAGGAGGAAAGGTCTCATAATCCTCTGAATGACTGATAATCTGAAACAACAGCTGTAATAAACAAATTTCACCATCTTGATAAAGTAGCAGGGGATTCATGGGGGTCTTTACGACAAACATACCGCTTTGTCCGTCCTCGAATGATTTCTAGATTTTCAAAAGGCGAGAGCGAGTTCATGCTCTGCGGCCAATCTTGAATCCACAGGTGTCCTGAAGGGACAGATGATTTGTTAATTATGAAGGCGTTCAAGGTTCATCGGGTATGTCATGCATTAGTCACATCTTATGTAATCTTACCTGTAATTTCCCTAACCGTTTTAAACACATCCAGCTGAGCTGGCTCCATCTTTGGTGTTTTGGTATAGGGATCACTTAAAACAAAAACAACAACAACACATTAAAATGGTCAGGAGAACAAATGTTGAGATCAAATATTGGAGCAATATTAGTTAATTCATCTTACCCATGAATTGATGTTCTAAGGATAGTAATGTCACCGGTGATTTTAGTGCAGTTTTTAAAGGAGCCGATGTTGGTGGCATTGACAGATAGTATGTAAGTCAGGTTTCCATACCCAAGTCCGTTACACACTGTGAAACAATTTAAAAAGCAAATAATGTGTTGAAAATAGCATTATTTCCACAAAGAAAAACTAGCAGAGATATTTAAAAATCCCCAAAACACAAATCACATAAGACATTATTTTCCAGCATTTTTTCTAACAAGTGGAGATGAATCTGGTAAACTGAGATGTCAGCTGATGGAGATCCATGCCAGAATGACAACACTGATGTACGCTCCAGACATATAAAAATTGAAACATGTCACTTTTGTCATTATTTTCTGTTTAAATATTAACAATAATAATTCATTCAATTCATGTAGTGCTTTGAAGGACACTCAAAGTATATTGGCCATATATCTAATAAGAGAGTATTAAACTTAGTTATACTTAGTCATAAATTACTCTTATTACATTATTATACAAGTCGGTTTTAGCTAAAAAACAAAAAACAAAAAATAAAAAATATAAATCGAAATGCATCAATTACTGTGGTGTATAGTGACTAATGCTTCTAAAAAAACATGTATTTGCATGCATTACTAAACATTTTATATAAAACAATACATGTTTTTTAGAAGCATTAGTCACTGTACACCACAGTCATTGCTGCATTTTTGTCAGAAACATTTCTTCATTTGGATAGCAAAAGTTCAACCTCAGACCTTTTGGGCACAGTCCGTTACACTTGGCACACTTCCTGACACCTCCTTCTTCCATTTCATATGTGTTACCGCTGCACGTCCGCACACACGCACCATGATCGGTCACAACATAATTATCTGGAACGATTGGAAAATAGAGCTATTCAGGCCAACACCGTCACATTTATCAAACACAGTCAGACTATTAGAACAGAAGACAGAAAACATAAATATTCTGTAGATGATTTTAAGGAGCATAGCTGGAGGTACATCTAGTAGGTCACATGGACTGAATCATGCATTAAGTTAAACTTCTAAAAGACGGGATGTTGCATTAACACACTCTGAAGCACAATAGTTTTCTTTCCTTGTTTCTATAGTTTATTATTAAACTTGAACAAACTCATCTTTTAATGTCTAACAACCCTCAAGGACAACCTGAGCAAATGTTTAGTATTGGACAACATGCAAAATATTTCTTATCATGCATCATATGTGCTACACATACAACCCGCTAATTTTATTTGCAGTGTGTATCCATGCCGGTGCAGACACAAACGTTTTTGTTAGGGTAAACAGGTGCAAGACTTTATTTCTGTTATTTCTTAAGACTGTGATTTGCAACAGTGTTTTCCAACTCTGGTCCTCAAGATGCATCACCCTCCGTGTTATAGGGGTGTTTTCACATCTGATAGTCCAGTATATTCGGTTCGATTAGGGACCAAAATTCTGACATATGTTACATTTTCAGCTGCTGTGGTTCACCTTCACACTGCACTGTGTCAAATGACCCAAACTAGTTGAAAAACCTTTTGCCACCCTCACTTGATGTGGCACTTCACAGAGAACTACTGAAGGAAAAGACATAAAAACTTCATTCTTCACAAAATGTAAGCAAAAATGGAATGGCGTCAGAAACTGATTTTAATACAGAGATGCTATGTTGTGACCTTGTTATGGCCTGCACAATAATAGGGATTTACTGCCGATTTCACCAGTTGTCCAGCAGACAGTACCAGACACACTCCACAAGGACAGTAAGCCAGAAAAGGTTGCTGTTAAAGAAGACGCTTGTTTACATAGTCTAAGAAAATGTATGTAAAGTGAAGTGGAAGGAAACGGTGTGGTAAAATAAAATGCAACAGGGATAGAAACAGCAGGTGTGAACTGGTCCTGGAATCAATAACTTTTGTTGGACTTGTGTAATTTACTAGCCTGGTAAAAGCCAGATAGTCTGCTGAAGTTTTTAAATTGTAACCAAATGCTAATGCTTGGCCATGACATACGGGATGTGCTGCATCTGCACCAGCTATGACGTTTACAAGAAATTGGGTGCACTGTAAACAACCATTTCCCACTGTGAAGAGAGCTACCTCGAGCGGAACGAGGCAGCACTTAATATTAATTCAATATTTGGAACCATGGTCGACACTGACTTCGTTCACTTCCTCCGCTGCCACTGCGAACAGACTACACTTCTGAAACAGCACAGTCATCGTTCACAACTTCTCCTTCTGTTGGACCAGTTGAAATTCCACCAGAGAATGAAGCTCAATGGGAGAAATCCCAAACAGAACAGTGAAGGCAGATGAGAACTGAGCAGAATTGTATTGCAAGCAATTCTGCTTCCAGGCTAGCAATATAAACATTTTCTGAAAAAGTTCATTTCGGGTTGCTAAGTGATAGTTATCCCCATTGAACAGCTTAATGATACTGTATACACAGCCGGATGGATGGATGTATTGATGGATGGATGGATTTGCAACAAGAAAACAAACTGAAAACTATATTCTTACGTGGGCAGTTTTTCACGCAGGTGGCTCCAAAGTTGTACTTTCCTTGGGGGTTAGGGACCAGTTGGTGAAGGTTGGGATCATAGCGCATGAGGCCAGGGCAGGAGTCCTTACAAACCCCGTCATCCTGGAAGTCCCGACAGGCCTGCAGCACAAACAACAGTCATCTAGTGCAGCGGGACCAAAACAGAGCCCCTTCCTAATGATAACACTGCATTCCTCTATCATAGCCTTGGCTTAATTCTCAAAGCTGTACAGAGCGAGTGTGCAGACACTGGTGCTCAAGGCCCTGCCAAATAAAAGATTTAATCAGCGGTTATGCGTCTCTCTGGTATAAAAACAAAAACATCATCTCCAATCATAAAAAAAGCAGAGGTTGCTAGGACAGTACTGAGTTTTAAATAGAGTTCTCAGCCAGATTGAATAGAACTATATGAAATATTGAGTGTATCATTAGTTGTGTTCTTTATCTCACCAGACAGTCAGCGGCTGTGGGCCCTGTGCATCCTGCTGCACAATGCTCATTGCAACAGTCGCTTGGTGAAGGTCCCTTGCACCTCTTTGAGCACTGCTGTGCACAGTTCAGCTTGGTCACTGGAGATGACACAGGCACAAACACAGTGGGTATACCCTTTACAAGAGGTCATTTTCTTATTCTGATAAAGAAATAATTTAAAAACACCAAATCCTTCAATGCTTAAGATGTTTGAAATACTAAAATGATGATGGAGTGTGTGTGAACACGAATAATAAAACTAGAAATACACAATTGTGCTATTTAGTGGATAGGATAGTTTGGATTCTGACTGTGATAAATGTATATATTTTTTAAATCAACAAGAGCTTACGGGTCTGACAGTTTTCTGCACCAGGTGCCCAACATGAACCATTGTAACAGCTCGAGTGGCATTTGTTACCTGTCAGAAGAAAAGTAAGTCACATTTCACCTTAAAAAATATCACAAATGAACAGAGAAAACAAAGTTTTGCTTGTTTTTCCTTGTGCCGTGAATGGAAGCGCTTACAGAGTGGGTTGTTTCCGGCCACTGGAAGTTCCATGCTGGGTTTAGTTTCGGCATTGACAATATCAAACCACTGAATTGTTTCTACATTGCAAAGCTTGTTGTTCACAAACTTTACACCTCCTTTGAGAATTTCTGCAAACAAACACGAAAGGCAGTTCCAAATTATGATGCTCAACTGTTCAGTGTCAAACGTATCGTCATGAAATATATGATCCTTTTAGGGCTCCATCTACCTGTCAGGCTGGTCAGTAGAAGCTCGGTGGTTCCAAGACCTGTATTTTTATCAATATTGGCAAGCACAGAAAGTGCAAACTTTTCCTCGTAGAGGGAGTGACCCCGAATGATGCGCAGATTCTCCAGGGGAATCCTAGAAACTGTGTTGAGAGCAATCAGAACGTAGCCACTCACTTCTTCAATTGACTGTGGAGAGGGGAAAGAAAAGAAGACTCCTAGTTGTTAGCCTCATGCAGGCTCTGACAATTCAGTTTTTGTTTTTCAGCTATGTCAATAAAACTGAAGACATGGTGAGTAATAATATAGTTACAGTTATTATATATACACACATTAGGGCTGCAGCAAACAATTATTTTAGTAGTTGATCATTGTATCAATTATTTTGATAATTAATTGCAATCTGCACATTCTGCTGATTTTTCATTTAACCACTTATGCTTATTTTATATAATATTTTATATAATATTTTATATAATATTTGAAATATATTAAAAACTAAAAGTAAAGAAGTAATTAAATTTGGTTTTAAATAAGAAAATACATTTTTACAGAATTTGAACTTGGTGAAACTAAAACTATGCCACTTGAGTTTTGTCTCAACCTTTTTTTGAATTTGTACACCACCTGTTAACAATTAATCGATTACTAAATTAGTTGACGGTTACTTGAAGAAATGGTTCATCAAGACTATGACCTTTCAGGAGAATTTGCTTCATTTAAATTTCTTCAGTTATTGATTTTTTGTCACATTAAATGTTTCTGATCATCAAACAACTGTACTGTCAGACCCCATCTTATGAGTCCACAGAATATTTCCAGAAAACCATCAAGGGGTTTTAGTTGGGAAGACAGTGTTTGATGATCTGAACCTTTCAAGAATAACAAAAAAAAAGCAAAAGAAGAAATCTTCAAGAGTTTCCACAGCAAAATTTTTTTGTTTGTTTGCCAATTTTAACATTTCAAGAAAGGTTTCAGTCGGAAAATGTTTTGTTTGTCCCATTTAACTATGTCATAAGTCCACATCCTTTTTCATGCTCCCAGAACAAAGCAAAGAAACACAGGAAATCTGTTAAACACGAGTCCAAGGTTTTATATTGCTTTGGGAAGAAGGAGAGCATTTCTTTTGTTTGACGTTTTAAAAATAAATTCCAATTAACATAATATTTCCAATAACTGTTTACGATACTGACACACATTGATGTGAAAATGCCAACAATGTCACAAATGAACTGAAACTGTTCCTTTCAAAAACATGATTTGTTTTGTGGCTCCGTAATGATTGGCAGATCTTTCTCACCGTCGGCACAAAGTTAAAAGTTAGGCCAACAAGTGTGTTAATCCAGGGTTAAAATGCCGCCAAGAGAGATATCCATTAACTCAAACATTTAACTCGGATTCGCACACATTTGGTTTTTGACATCTGCACAGAGAACTGTGAACAAGGTGCAAATGGGACATTAAAAAGATTACCCTTGAAACTGCTGTATTGAATCTGCTGACTATTTTACTTTGTGTTTGTGTGGGCTAGCCTGAAGCCCATGAGCGTGTGTGGTCCCCTAACACATCTCCCCAGTGCTCAAAATCTTGCAGTTACAGCTGATCTTTGAACGAAGTTTTAACCAGAGCTGTACAAACACAATGAATCATTATAAGCACTTGTTCTGCACAGGTTTTAGCCAACTACAACTGTGAAGAGTCTGCAGAATTCAGTCTAAAAAGTGGAAAATATACACTCACATTCAATAAATGAGAAAATGCGTTTGGATGGAGGCAATTTGACAGATTCAAAGTACCTTTTGAAAGCAACCCTAAAGCAGGTAATAAACAAATTTCATCAACCTCCCATTTTGGTTTTCAAACTGTCTTTTGTATTGGTCTGATGTAATATTTTAGTCTTATATGTTATGTTTTATTAGGTGTAAAACAAAGGAAAAATTGGCATAATTAAGAAATAAAGACTTGAAAACATCCGTCCATATTTTATCAATCATGTGTATTACTGAGAGAATTTAACTACTAAAATAAACAAAATGTTACATAATCTAAATAATATTTGTATATGACATTTTGTGCATCTATTGTTTTCCAAAGTGGACAGGTTAATTTAAAATGCACTTTTGTTAAACATAAAGACCTATTGTTCATAACCACTGAACTGGGGAAGCACTCTCGTATATGAATTATGAAGTTTTATCTTTACTGGCAACCACTTATAGCTGGTCACTCTCTATTGCTGTGGACAGATATTCTTGAAGAAAAAAGTGCATTTTATCTGGAATGTGTCCTGTCGAGGAAAACGCTGACATTGAGGGTGGACTTTCCTGTGTGAGAAACACTTTTGGCCTAAGGGTCGGGGAACAACTATCGTGTATTTAAGGGAAGGAATAACCAAAAACAGAAGAGAAATTCTTTGGTATCATTTTGGCAGTTTGCAAAATTAATAATACCTGACCTAAAGCTGGAAACCTTTATTCATATTTAAGTTATTCATTTTATAGAGTATAGAAACGACTACATCTTGTTTCGAATGTAATAGTAACATAGTGTAGGCTTTTACCTTGAGGAAGGATAAGTCACGGTGCTCCTCTACGTAAGTGATCTCCAAGTTTTCCAGGACGATAGTACAATTGCTGTAGGTCTTCACCATGTTCAGGTAGTGGTCCTCTTTGTTGTCCATAAGATTGACGCGATTGGTGAAGCCCTGGCAAACTGGGAAGAAGTAAAAAATAAGAAAGTAATTTCATTCTGTGAACACCACAAAAGCACTGTGGTTCTCATAATTACACACATCTTCTTATCATGAAGCAATCTGGCTCAGTATCATTATTGGTAAAATTCTGTCTGCACAGACACAACTGTGGTGAATTTGACTCGAAACTGCTAATCGGGGGTTAATCTACAAAAGACCTCAAATCTCAGTAACGCAGCAGGTTCTCGCTCTGGCTTTGTGTACTCTGGCACAAATCTGAATATTTCCTGAGAATAGTTGGGGGAAAAACAGAACAAGTGTTTCCAGGCATTTCGATCAACTTTCACTTTCACAAGTATCACTAACAGTATTGCGGTATTACAACCATGGGCAGATAATGTAGGCTTGTTTGCTGATAAACATTATTAACAAGAAGGCAATAATATTGATAAGAAAAGAAAGCACAAAAAACTTGTTCTGAATAAAGCTTTCAAACAACGTCATTTTCTGAAACTTGTCATCTTATCAGTCATGGACAGGTCCTGACTGTCTGTGATGTCGGAGTTATCTATCCTAAATACTGGCATGCAAAACCTACACAGCCATAAGCATAAAAAATATTCTTTCTCCTGCTTAAGTTGTGTCTAAGCAGCTCATATTTTGATTCATGTTCTAAGGAGGATGAAAAGAGAAACGAGTTAAAAAAGAAAAACAGATGACTGTGTCTTGTTTATTAAAAATGCAGGGGCCACTGTAGTGTCCCAGACACATTCCTCAACATGTCTGCTCTTGAGAGTTAAGAAAGTCAAAGCATGCAATCTGGATACTGGGACACACCTCACTTCACATACAAACATGGAGCTCAAGCAATTGTACTCAGACCAAGCCACAAATAAAGAGGTACACTCTCTTCCAGTTAAATTATTTCATAGTACATTGTATCACCATATTCTTTCTTTTCCCACACAAAGAAACTACAGTTCTCACCAGATCAGTAAGAATTAGGCTGAAACATCTGCCTACTGCCCTCCCTTTACCTAATCCTCATTAGTTCATCCCCCAGGGATCTCGGTGGCATGAAGTTCAGACCCTAGCAACAAAAGCAGATGAGCCAAGGCAAGCTGACTGCTTTAATTAGGGTAGTCATGTGAGATGTAATTATCCCCATAATTATTAGTCAAACTGGAAACACTAATAAGTGCAAGGTTTTTCTGATTATTCAGCTGTGAATATCTGAGCACCCAAAATGCAAATTTACAAATACAACTCATCACGATTACTTGCAAATGTATTCACATTGCCACATAAAAAAAAAAATGACCGTTTTAACAAACCTATAGACTTCCTTAAACAATGGTTTTCTTCTATTGTGACTGAAAATCTTTAGGTTTTAATTGTTGACTTAAAGAAGCCAGCAGATTATGTGTGCCTCAAGTTTCAGCGAGTTTATTCCAGAAGTGAGGAGCATAAAACATTTTTTAAAAAATAAAATAAAAAAAATAAATGCTGCCTCATGTTGTTTAGTTCTGGCCTTGGGACAATGAGTAAGCAGGTCTCTGATGACCTGACAGGTCTAGTTATTTCAAGAGCTACAGATGCCTTTGTTTCAGCTACAATGAGTTTTAACGGCCAGCTGAAACAGGTGACTTAAGGTGCAGCAAGCTTCCTCTTACTGAAGCTCTCACACTTTGAGCCCAAATCCAGGAAGGAAGAAAAAAAAAAAACTGTTTATTGCTTAAGCTTGCAGGCGTATATCCACAGTAAACATGCTGCTTTCCCAGTTCATTTCATAACCGAGTTGCAGGTGGTGAATAACCTGAAGTTCCACAACCATCAACGCACCTCCTCATTCGACTGCAGCACATTAGAAAGAAGTAGGATTTATATATATATATATATATATATATATATATATATATATATATATATATATATATATATATATATATATAGTGAAATATCTTCTTGAACAACACAACCTGTACCTTTCTCTACAAGGGAAATGACTGATTTTTATGGGATGAAGCTCACATCCCATAAAAGCTTGCACAATATGCAAATTACCCTTATAAAAGCCAAGATGAATGAATAAAACAATGTTTACTCTCTTAGACCTATTTTTTTCACATAACCTGACTCATCTGTAATAAACTTCAGTGAGCTAAAAGGTGTACGATCCAGGGAAGGGAGGCTTTCTCAGTGACGCAACAGATACTGTGACAGCGACTAATTACAGATTGCTTCACTCACTTCCAGCTGTACTGTCGTCACTAAATGTCCAGAAGGTAAAAACCGAAGCAAGGAGTGGCAGGTCTGGTGTATCTCTGCTTCAGTGCTTCATACATGAGTGTGTGCAAGGGTGTGTTTGCGTGTGTGTGTGTGTGCGCAGCACCATGTGCAGCACAAAACGCTCCCTGGACTGAGCTGCACTGATCAGCACTCAGTCAGAGCTCAACAATAGACTCAATAAACCCTGTCATTAGTCATCTAAGCTTGCTGCAATGTGTGGCTGCACATCACGCTTTTGATGTTTACTTGGGGACTAATGCTGTGGAAGTCAAGGGTGTGGGTAGATATTTGTTTCTTGAGGCTATAAAGTCTGAACAGTATTAGAAGCAGATACTGCATGTGATTATCACTTGGAATAATTAGTTACTTTTTAAGTCTGTCTGATCCTACACGTGCTTTTAGCCGAGCATGTAATCAAGTTCAAGGTATGAGCAAGGCCTCAGTCTCAGCATGACATAATTAAAAACTTGGAAAGATCAAGTCATGAAAACAGTCAGACGTGCAGTTCAGATCAAAATGAAGAATTCATGTGAAGAAAGGCATTTTCTGACTCACGGTTTCGAAGTAAACCGTGATTAAAGAAAGGTGTTTTGTTTTCCCACTCTACCCTACTGTCTAATGGTTGTGAAATACTTGTAACAAGCTAGAGGTATCTGGATCTATAAACAGTTTACAATGCGAGTGGGCAGATCTGGGGTAAATTAAAGTTGCACATTATCCAGGAAAATCACAATAGAGTAGGAGAATGTGTCGTAAAACGGTTGAAAATAATTTGGATATTTGAGTTGGAACTATTTTGTCACTTTGCAGTTTGGTGTTTTTGGGGGTATATAGCCGTTCTTTTCTGATGCATGGGATAGATAAGAGAGACAAGAGTAATTTAAAATGCTACCTCAAGTCCTGATCATAATTTGTAAGAGGTTTTACATAGACACATCTGCAAGAATGATAAAAATGATTAAATAAAGTATTCTATACTAGCTCACAAAAAGGGCAAGATCTCTTTTTATAAGAATTTAAAGCCCACATGTTTTAAAGTCAGAAATGTGGTGGGAATCCAACAAATTCAAATGAGCTATAGCATTTCTAACAAGAAGAAAGAGCCAATATCCAGAACTTAGGATTGGCTTGTCCTGGGCAACTGGGAATCTATTCCAGAGACAGGAGAAATCGTCCTGCCACTTTCACTTCCTCTGATTCACCAAGTCCAATTCAATTAGGTCATGTCCAGAACCAGGTGATTGCATTACATGAAAGCTCACACAGGGATAAAGAGAGGTAACTATGCTAGCTGACAGGACTCGTTTATTTCTGTCCCCAAGTCAACAGCATTACACCAAAGAATCTTACATAAGCCACTCTGCAGCGTTCTTCTGCTGATAAGAGGTCGATGCCAAGATGAATTCCAGTGTTAATGTTAAATTATGGGCAACTCCCTTCTCTATCTTGGAAGCGTAGGCTGAAGGGGAGATGAGCAGAGAAAAAACAAACAAAAAATAAAACTGAGGCAATCTGCTTTTATTTATTTAAAGTTGGGGCTCCTGTGGGTTGTCTCCTGTTTCCAAAACTCCAGACTTTATGGAGATGTAAATCTTCCAAAGCCGATTTCCTTGATTCTCTGCCCATTCAGCTCAAACTTCCTGCTCAAATGTTTTTATATATTAAAGAGGACATGAGAGATTTTATGTCACATCAAGATAAAACCAGTCGAAGCACTTTAAGTTTTGAAGTTTAAATGTCCTGCTCTCTGACCAGGGGAAATGCAGACTTCCTTTGTGTGGGAGATGAAATATCCCCTTTGCAAAGTCCTGTGGCCTTTGCAAAGAAAGACAGATCCCTTCCTAAAGGCTTGAGGATACCTCCTCTCCGCCCCCATTCTCTGAGAGCAACAACACTAGCCATTCTGGCATCGCGGGAAGCTGGTCTTTGCACAGGGGTCAGTTGAGAAAGTCACCCTACAACACTGGAGGAGAGGTAGCTGATTGTTTTCTCTGTGGGAGCAAGGCAAAAGCATGATCTAAATCATGCTCAAAGAATGACTCGTGAAGCAAAACTTACGGAAAGGAAACGAGAGAAAAAAAAAGAACCCTCAAATGGTATTTTAAAAAATAGTCTGCTGTGGTATGTGGTTCGGTTGAGACTTGTAGATGTGGGAAATAGACAGTGGCTGTGGGGTCAAACAGTGGAGAATGGGATGTACGGCATCACACTTGACGCATGAACGTGGATGACCTTTCCTTCAAGGCCGGCAGTGATGCAAGCAAAGCATCATTACATCACGTGTCTTCTAAACATTTAAAACCTCTGAGATGACACTTGCAGGCTCTGCCTCGGCTCGTGTCCAGTGAAGTTTAGTCTGTGGAAAGCTCAGCAAAGTGACCAAATAAAGACCAAAAAGGCTTGTGTTTACTTTCCGCTCGCGATGAGTGCCCTTTACAGTCAGTGAGACACTCCAGATACCTGGAGCTGCAGCCCTCATGGTGTTTACTCTCAGCCCCAGAGTGAGGAAACCATGGATTTAGGTTCAGCACAAACACAGGAAAAAACAAAATGTATGCTCACTCAAACTCCATATTCCCTACTGCAGTTTTTAAACACCTGGTGAGATACTCTTTTCAATAGTTATAGAGCTGGTTAGTAGTCAGTAACTAGAGTGGCTGTCAAGTGAATTCATACCCCTTAGATTTTTACCTGTAAACAGAAATAGGAATTAGGTCTGGACTTTGACTGG